CTGCAGGTGATAATAGATGGGATCCTGGTTGTAAGAATTCTTTTTTTCCCACTGCTTTCCTCTATATCTTATTTTGAGTGAAATATGACTTCCACAGAAGCATTTTAAAGGAAACAAGCTGCATAGAGCAGCAAAACCCCACTTTCCACACAAATCTGGAGTTACCATATTGTCTGGTGCTATAGATTTTAAAGATGTCTCTTGTAGTGACAGTCAGTACATCTGCCCTGGAAGAAAGAGGAATGCCAGGCATAATAAAAAGTCTGGTCCAATGATTCGTGTTAATATGCCCATCTGCTTCTCTGTCACTCTTACCTACCTATAATCACAGACAGCAATCGGGGCAGAGCCTTTGCTGGCTTTTCTTGCATCAGGACATGGACCTTTCTGCTTGAATAAAACTTGTATAAATAGCAAAGCAGTGACCCATCAGGGCTTTTTCTGGTTGATGCTTCCCTTATACAAGGGAGGCTGAAGGAGCACCAGATCTGAGGTTTCACTCTTGGAATGGGACATAGAAGTCTCAGTGCTCCTGCCTCTTCCCTCTTCTTGCACGGGGACATTAGCTATCATTAAAATGAGATAAACACTTTCTCCCTGAAATGGGATAATCATTAAAGAGCAAATAAAGGGTCCCAAAATGAGTGCCTGGAATTCCCAAACAAATGTAATGATGCTGTTCCCAGCTCTCTCTTCCTCTCCAAATTGCATCCGCAGTCTGTACTGGGCAATGAAATAGCTAACAGAGAGCCATTCATCTGGCATATAAAATTAGTTTGATTTTTCCTATGTGCATCACCCTACATGGATCTGCACTGAATTTCATCAGCCAGTTTACATGCCAGCCATGAAAACACAGAGGTCCTTCCATAGCCATCACATTTATTACCCTGAGCAATACAGCTCCAGCAAAAATCTTACCATCTTTCCATTCAGCCCCACTTCCAGACCTGTTTATGATCAAATTTGCCACTCTAGTCCCAACAATGACCTCCCCCAGTGCTCCTCATGATCTTCTGCAGCTTGGCCCCATAATGCTGGTCCCTGCTCCCTGCATCCCAATCTCTTTAGTGCTTAAATCCACTGTCTCCTTCAGAGGGAGTATTACTAGGTTTTTAAGACAGAATTTTCCTGTTTTTTTTCTATGTTATTAATTATAACTGGTATGTTCCTGGCTTGTAAATTCTGTAGGACCTTTTAAGTCTGGGTTTGGTGTGTTTGTTTGTTTGTTTTTTTTTTTTGGGGGGGCTCTTTTTCAGAACATTAGCATCTCCCCATCTTTGCACTGTAAATTTTTGTTAAGCAATATATCACATGCTGCCATCAGGAGGAAACCTATTTAATCCTTAAATTACCTTAGGAGCTTTTTTGGGGGGAAAGATCCGGGTGCTGGTGATTTGTTGTTGCTTATTCCCTCTTTTCCACCTCCTTTATATTTAAGACAAATCCTTCAATGAGTCCCCTCAAAGGAAAGTTCAGTACGAAATCCTCCCTTCTTTCTTTTAAGGTGAACACAGCTGCCAATATCTCATTTAGCAGCCATGGAGTGGCCTTAGCTTTTATTAGCTTTACAGCTCTGACCATTTCCTACCCTACGTGCTCCTCATCAGGCTTCCCCTTCCTAATGTGTGTGAAAATAGAAAAACTTCTTTTAAGAGGTTTCTTTGCCTTTTGCAAGTTCTTTCTGCAGTTCTCTGCTGAGTGTCCTTATTGTGGTTCACACTTTGTCAGGCACAGTTGATCATCTTTTCTATTTTTCATGTTTGGACACAGTTTTAGCTGCTTCATTCTAACAACCACCCTCATCCCACTGTTCTGCTATGACCTTTTCCTTTTGCTCCTTCTCAGGGCTTTTTTTAATAGGTGTCATACATTTTCCCTGAGTCTCCAATATACTGGCCTTAAATAGCTCCCACAGTGCTTGCAAAAAATCTGTTTGCAAGGGTTTAACTCTTTTTAGCTGTCCCTTTTGTCTTCTTTTTAACAATTTCCCCATTTTTATGTAGCCTCCTTACTGAAATTAAGCACAGAAGTAGTGGCCTTTTCATCCCTTTTTGGATGGAGTGTAAGTACCATATGATCTGTGCTGCAGAGTAGCTCTCTCCGGGTAAAACTCTGAACCAAGCACAGTATGCTGTTCAGAACTGATTGCTGTTTGTCTGTTATTAACATACCAAAGGCAGTGCTGAGAAATCACTTGTTAGTCTTTGTCTCCTACCGCTGGGTCAGTAAGCTTGTAGCTGGTGTTTTCTCCCTGTAAACATATGAAAACACTGTAATTCAGTAATTACCAGTACTGGCTTGGTAAGGTATAAATATTCATCTATTTCTCCTGAAAAAGATGCATTCCAGGACATAAATCTGCTTCTTGGCATAGCTAGGATCTGTAATATGAACAGATTTAAGTTAGAGAGAGATCATATTTTTAGCACACATGCCATGTCTTTGAGAGCTTCTCTACTATAGGGAGTGCTGGGTTCCTCTGCAGAATCCCAGGTCCAATCTTTTGCTGACAGAAGAGGTGGGATCTGAAGATGAAGGTGAAGATGAATCCTCCCTCCTTGCATTACACCCATGTCAAATTCCAGTTTGAAGTCCCCAAAACAGGACCCATAGAATCACAGAGTGATTTAGGTTGGAAAAGACCTTTAGGTCATTTAGTCCAACTGTTACCCCCAGCACTGCTAAGCCCACCACTAAAACATGTCCCCGAGCGCCACATTTACTTGTCTTTTAAATACCTCCAGAGATGGTGACTCCAGCACTGCCCTGGGCAGCCTCTTCCAATGCTTGACAACCCTTTCATTGCAGAAGTTTTTCCTAACATCCAATCTAAACCTGCCCTGGCACAGCTTGAGGCTGCTTCCTCTTGTCCTATTGCTTGTTACTTGGGAAAAGAGGCTGGCACCCACCTCTCTACAACCTCCTTTCAGGCAGTTGTAAAGCATGATAAGGTCTCCCCTCGGCCTCCTTTTCTCCAGGGTAAACAAGCCCCCATGTCCTCCCTCCTGTTTAGTGCAGTTGGAGGGTCCCTGTACTCCTCAAGAAGCTGCCACAAGGTGCCCTGGGAGGTTATAGAGCTGCAGACAACAGGGGCAGTAACAGGGAACAGTCTTTCTCCTAACAAAGGATATTCAATATAAACTACTGGTGCTAGAAGCTTTCTTTAGCTGCAGAAACATTTTGAAGTCTGGAGATGCAGCAGAGCAAGAGACACCACTTCAAAACCCAGTTTGCAGTTCCTTCGCTTTCACCTGGCTTTTCACTCCCCTCACATCATTCTTATCTTTTTTTTTTTGGGGGGGGAATAGGAAAGAAACAATGAAAGTTGTTGTTGTTCAGCGTTTCCGTTTGAAATTTTTATTATTTACCAAACTTTCAACCTCGTGTGTGTGTGTGAAGTTTTCTTACCAATGCATAGTTATTTTAGGGGAGTTTTCCTTCTTTCATACACTATTGTGTAGGGTCAGGTGAAGCTTGAAGTCTGTGGCTCTTGATGGACCATCCTGTCCCAAGTGTGACATTTACCTGCTACCTACCACTGCCTGTTCTCAGTCTCTGTAGACTAGATGTTAACCCCCTCAAACCCAGTGTCTCACACTATGCACCTCTTTCAAAAACAGACTCATTCCTCTTAACAACACAAGTATCATAAGAAATCCCACATCTTTATCAGGACTCCTGTATCCCTGGACAGTCTTTACACTCATGAAGTTTTTAAAGTTGTCAGATTACACATTTATCCTATGTCCTATGGATAAAATAAAGGAGCATAAAGCTGCTCGCTAGGTTATAGCTGTTTGCCCAAAACTACCTGGTGCACAGTCACTTGGACCGCAGTGGTTGGTAGCGAGCCCCTTGTGGCACGTTCTGCTGCACATACCGACACAAAGGGTGGATTCACCTCTCTGGTTGGCAGCAAAGACATGCCTTCAGGCACCGTGTATTCAGACTCCCGTTGCAATCAGAGGCGTTTTGAACAAGCAGGAATTAGCCTTAGGAAGAAATTACTTTCCCCCCAGCTCTGTACTGGCTGTAGTGCCAAAGTCTCTGCTGACCGCAGAGGATGCTGCAGAAGAGAGGAGACACAGACCTTGTCTCTGCAGAAATTAAGCAGTCTTTCTGTAAGAGAGAGCGGTCTGTATCTCCTCTCCTCTTTTGCAGCATCCTTCAGTCGAGTACCAATGCAGCCTTTCCCTGGGTTTGGAAGGACCCAGGACTGAAAACTTACTCTGTTTCCTGGAGGGTTGCAGAGAAACAGGGCTGTTTTCTCTCCCATGAGCCAGTCAGGGAGTTGACCCTTTTTGACATGTCACCCTCCAATATTGCTCCTGATGCTTGTCTGGCTGCCCTTTGCTCTGAGCCATCCAACACCACACTGCTCCATGTTCCCCTGTAGAAAGCCTGGAGTGAATGGTTTACCGTAGGGAAGTGGACACTGAAGAAGTCATCTTGTCTGTTCTTCCATTATCAGTGAGTCCCACTGGAATAATCTGGTCACTGGCTATGTTGAAATGTCACTTGCTTTGTGCAGATGTGTCCAGAACAGCCATGGGACCACAAAAGCTGAGTGGCTGCACTGGGATGAGGATGCTTTATAGGCACCCCAAGAATGGGATTTTGGGAGTGCAAGGGGAATGTGGTGGCACCAGCCTCTACCCCCTCCAATAGGAATGAGGTCCCCAGTGCAGAGGCTGGATGGAGCTGATGGAGATTTGGGGGTTGTTGTGTCCCCTAAAACTAAACTGGGATGCAACTTGTGGAGAAAGAAGACACACTATTAGGCAGTTGGCCCTCCCCCAGGCATTGTCACCACCCTGCTTTGAAGCAATGGGATAATGGGAAAATCCTAAATCCTTTTCCAGTGTGTCACTTTGGTGTCATGGTTCTGGGACTGTCAAAGGTGTGTACTGATCACAGTTCAGAGAGGTCTGGCTGCAGAACGTCTCCTGGCACTCTGTTACCCAGGAGGTGAATGAACCACACAGCACACAGAAATCACATCTGCACATCTTTACTTCAAAGCAGTGAACACAGTGTTGGTCACACCATGAATACAGCGCTGGGAGCTCCACTGCTGCTCTTCCTCCATGGCTGGGCACTTTCACAATCACTTTCCCTTTTTGGGTGGGGGGATGCAGCAGTACATCTTCCCGCAGGACTGGCTGAAAGTCCACTCATCCCTCTTGGCACACATGTGGGAACAGTACCCAGCACAGCTGCCCTTGGACTGCCCGTACCCTGTGATGGGAAGGAGAGAGAAATGGATTGAAAGAGAAGGCGTCAGATATTGTAGGAGGGCAGATCCCCAGAAGTTATCTCCTTGCTGGCTCCAGGGCAGTAAGGATGCACAGGGTGCCTTTGGGTTTAGACCAGCATAGAATACAACCGATGCTTTGTGTCCCCGTTGAGCTGGACTCCTAAAAGTCCTCCCTCTAAACATGTCAGCACTGCAGCTTGCTGGCAAGATGAGCAGTACAGACAGACTTTTGCAGTGTGGCATTCATCTCACCCCAGAATGGTTGTGAGAGGTTGGGTAACTCATCAGCCAGAGCCAGGGGTGGGTAGCTGATCTCCACTGCAAATCTGGGTGAGATGAACCACCTCCACCACCCCAATGCAGAAAGGCTGGAAAGGGGACAAGCACCCATTCTCCAGCCTCACCTTCTTCACCCCCATGCATTGCATCTTACCTGGAGTGGCCAAGGAGAAAAGCAGGAGCACAGCAAAGACCACGCACAGCACCTTCATATCTGGAGGCTAGCAGAGATCTCAGCGCACTGGGGGCAAAGTGGGTCTGAGATGGCACAGTGGGGAACCTCGGAGGTCCTGGGTTTTATAGAGGGCTTCCTGCATGAGCAGCACAGCAGGAGGAGAAGCTTGAGCAAACCCATCTCCTAGGAGGTGTTCCTTGCTGGCTGGTGTGTGCAATGTCACCCCGACCCACTGGTCCTGCTCACAAAGGCACCTGGCAGCCAGGTCCATGCTTCAGTGGCTTCTCCTCGCTGCTCACAGAGGGACAACTCCCAGATCCGGCTGCCAGGACTCCACCACCAGCACACATGGAGCCGCAGGGCACAGCTCTGCTTGACCCAGTGCCAGCCGGGGCTGCCCACAGCAGAGCTGCTGCCCAGGGGTGAAGAAATTCAGCCTGGGCACCTTCCTGATAAGCCCTGGACACTGTCTGCCAGGCACAGACACAATGGACAATACCGGGAATAGATCCATCATGGGAATAGTTTTCAGGGTGCATCCATTCCTGACCGGTGGCAGTGAGGTTCCTCAAGGGTCTCCCCCAAATGTGGTGCTCTGCAACATTTTCACAGAATCACGGAATGGTTTGGGTTGGAAGGGGCCTTAAAGCTCACTCAGTTCCAACCCCTGCCACAGGCAGGGACACCTTCCACTAGACCAGGTTGCTCCAAGCCCCGTCCACCCTGGCCTTGAGCACTGCCAGGGATGGGGCAGCCACAGCTTCTCTGGGCACCCTGTGCCAGGGCATCACCGCTCTCATAGTAAAATAGTGCTTTGTTCTATCTGGTCTGAATCTATCCTCTTTTATTTTAAAACTATTACCCTTTTTCAATCCCTGCAGGTCCTACTAAAAAGTCTGTCCTCATCTTTCTTCTAAGCCCTGTTTAAGCACTGGAATCTTCTCTAAAGTCTCCCCAGAGCTTTCTCTTCTCCAGGCTTAACAAGCCCAGCTCTCTCAGCCTGTCTCCATAGCAGAGCTGCTCCAGCCCTTGGAGCATATTTGTGACCTCCTCTGGACTCACTCCAAGAGCTCCACATCCTTTTTACATTGCTGCCCCAGAGCTGGACTCAGGACTGCAGGGGGGCTCTAACCAGAGTGGAGCAGAGGGGGAGAATCCCCCTCCTCAACCTGCTGCTCATGCTGCTGGTGATGCAGCCCAGGACACAGGGTGCTTTTCATCCACCAGCAGCACCAGGTCCTTATCCTCAGGGCTGCTTTCAATCCTTTCATCCCCCAGCCTGTATTGACACAGGGTTGCCAATCAGGCGCAGGATCTTGCTCTCAGCCTGACTGTCATCACATTGATTTGGCCTGAGACATATTTGGGTATTTTGCCTGAAATCATTCAGAAAGGACTATGATGCTGATTGAAAGGGATGTAAGCAAATATGTAAATGAAGCTCAGGTAATGAATTGCCATGAGACATCTGATCAGAAATCTGTTGTGAGTCCAGTGCTATCCTGCTAATCATTTTCATGGCTGTTTAGGGAGTGTGCTTACTAAATTCACAGATAAGAAGTTGAAAGGGGCTGCAAAGAGGACAGGGTTAGTGTTCTAGTGGATCATTTCATGCTAAGGAGACAGTAAAAGAAATTAAGTAATAGGTGAAGCTACTTTGCCTATACAGACAAGAATACTTAGCTGCAGAACACAGAACAAGGAGTTTCTGGTTTTACGGCAGTTCAGCAGGGAAAATTAGGGTTGCAGTAGATCATAGGTAGGTACAAATGAGCAACGTCATGGTGTTGGGAAACTAGCACCAATTGTACTACAAGCATAAACGAAAGCTAAGTTCGTAAAATACAAGACGTACCCACTGCACTGCACACCCTTTGGAAAGTGCATCCATCCAGTTCTGTACACTGTGCTTCGATAAAGCAGTGAAAGGGATGAAAAGAGCTCAGAAAATGACAGGGGTCAGAAGACGAAAAATAGAAAGACTCAAAAAAGAGAAAAAACCCACACAAGTATGAGAAGGAAGCAGCCTGACCAGCAGGTAGAGGGAGGGGATTCTACCCCTCTACTCCACTCTCATAAGCCCCCCCATCCTTGCAGTCCTGCATCCAGCTCTGGGCCCCCAGCATAAGAAGGACATGGAGCTGTTGGAGCAAGTCCAGAGGAGACCCTGAAGATGCTCTAAGGGCTGGAGCATCTCTGCTATGGAGACAGGCTGAGAGAGCTGGGCTTGTTCATCCTGAAGAAGAGAAGGCTCCTTAATGGGAGACCTTAGAGCAGCTTCCAGTGCATAAAGGGACCAACAAGAAAGCTGGAGAGGGGCTTTTGACAAGGGTCTGTAGGGACAGGACAAGGGGGAATGGCTTTAACCTGACAGGAGATTGAGATGAGCCCTTAGGCAGAAGTTCTTCCCTGTGAGGGTGGTGAGGCCCTGGTACAGGTTGCCCAGAGAAGCTGTGGCTGCCCCATCCCTGGCAGTGTTCAAGGCCAGGTTGGACGGGGCTTGGAGCAACCTGCTCTAGTGGAAGGTGTCCCTGCCCATGGCAGGGGTTGGAACTGGATGAGCTTTAAGGTCCCTTCCAACCCAAAATGTTCTATGATTCTATGAAAATGTGATCAGCAAGAAAAGACTGAAGCAAGTGGAATAATGATGGTCAGGGAAGAGAAGACAGAAATCATCATAGTCCTGAAATCCATATAAGGTAATGCACTGGAAGGGCATGTTCTACTCTTGGTGGCCAGAATAGGAATTCCATGACTCCAGTCACAGCAAGATGTCTTCACCTGAAGTATGGGAAAACCTTTGTAATGGGAGGTCTGTACGGCAGAAAAGTCGAGTAGGGTGAGTGTGAAAACCCATCACCGCAGGTCTGAAAGAAAGACTGGATAAAGAGGACAGTTAAAAACACTGGTGATGAAGCAGAGGGGATGCACAGCCCCTCACCTGTACTTTTATCCAGTTTCTATATTCAAGCAAGATCACAGAGAGGAGCATAAGTCTGAGCCAGGTTGGAGTGGAGAGCAGGGCTGGGCAGAAGCAAGTGCCTGGAAAGGAGTCCAAGAGCATGTGTTTACACTCAGGAAAAGTCCGTCCAGTGACATAAAGTCTGGTGACTTTCTCAGGAAGGTTTCATAAATCTATTTTAATTTGTACCTGGTCATTAGTTTATAAATTGCTTTTTCAGTACATTTGTCCTTTTTATACACTTTGATTTCTTGAAATTCTTGCACGAGTTCCATGTTTCAGCTGTGCTCAGTGTGAAAGAGGACTTTTGTGGTTACTTTTTCAGTAAATGCATTATTTACCATTGCATCCCACCTATTTCTTAGGTTATGAAAATTGAAGGGCCATAGTTCATGTCTTCCTGAGGCCTCTATAATTTGTATGGCTTTGTGAAACACCTCAGGTAAGCGTTTCATCCCTTAGCTGGCAAGCACCACTATATTTAATTTTATGACAATGAGTCCCCAGCTCTGCCAGCTTTCTTTTAACCTCTTCTTGCCTACTGTAGGCCATCATGGATGGGGAGATAGGCATTGCACACACCGCAGTGTGATACCCCACAGTCTGATTTCTTACTGTACAATTGTCCATGTTTTGGTTCTTACCTGCTCTTTTCAGAGCATTCTCTTCAAGGATTCCCAGTCCTTTTCCTAATGTTTTAGGTGATTCAGACCCATCCTTTGTACAGAGATTATCTATTATTTCCCAATTCACAACCTTAAACTAACTGACACTGATTTGGTGTTTGAGGTTTTGCGGCCCTGCTACTCAGTGTTGTAAGATCCATCTGCTGCCCTTTGTGGATCTAGGCTTCATGGTATTCAGTAATTTTGCAGCAGCAGCAGCAGCTTCTGCCCCATCACCAGTCCCCTCTCTTTTTTCCTGGCTGTTCATTAAGCCATTAAGCAGCCCAGTGAACTGGGGTTGGAAAAGCTCCTTTGCTCATGTTTGAAGCCCCAGGTCTGTATGGAAGGTTTATGAGGAAGAGGTCATGATCAAAGTGTCTGCAAGTGGTCTGCTCCCCCAGGCTCCTGGGAGCTGTCAGCCCCAGTGCTCCTGCTCACCACCCATCAGAGGGGCTAGAGGAGACAACAAAAGAGAGTACATTGAATATGATGTTTGCTAAAGTTATCAGAGAGATGTTGCAGACATGGTTCCCTTCACAAGTCGAGATGGGAACATGGGGTCCTTTCCAAGCCAACAGCCCCACATGGTGACCAGTCTGGACAATGGAGGGAGAGTTATCAGTGTATCATGGCCACAACTCGGCCCCATTCCATGCCTTTACATCCCTGCCAGAGGTTGAGAAAGGCCTAAACCCTGTGATACTCATCTTGTTCTCCCCTCATCATTATACCCGCAGATCTCCATGAGGTCCCTCTGACCCATCAGCACAGTCCTAACTCTGCTATTGACAGCCCCTATTCATTTGTGCTCTCATCAAAGCCAGCATGCTGATATGGTATCTGATATTGGGTAACCAGGTCTGGGGGACAGAGATGGCTGCCTTCACACTTGGGCACACATGGGCAATTCTGGTACTCATGCCATCTCTGTATGTCCAGCACGACTTGGATGGATTCCCATGTCTCCCCAGCATCCTCTGCTCTGCAGGGAGATGCTCTATAAAATCCAGCAGCCTCAGCCTCCCTGCACATCACCTCCTCCCTTCAAGCTCTCTCCAACCCTCCTCTCTCCAGCCTCGCTTAGATCCCAGATCAACTCCAGCCATGAAGTTCCTCTACCTTGTCTTCGCTGTCTTCCTGCTGGTCTCCCTGGCCACTCCAGGTAAGATGACAAAGAGGGTGAGATGAACTTTATACTAGCTCTATACTACTTTTAAAGTAACTTCAGCTCTTGAAAATATAGTTATTGCTATCTAAGGTGACTGCTATAACGTGGCTGGGTACTTTAATGGCTTCTTTCAAAGGATGATGAAATAAAGACTACCTTAGAGAGATTCGTGTATGAATAACTGAGGTTAAAACTTCATCATCCAGTTTGGGAGTGAGCCCCAGGCCAGACAAAAGGCTGGATGTGTCCGCTTCTCTTGGGGACTCAGGGAGTTTCATAGTACCAGAGGGACTCTTCTATGCAAATCAATTTCTCTGTCAATGCTTAATCCTGGGTACATTTGATTTACTGATGTAATATAGATATTACTGCTAATACTTTTTTCTGAGACTGCAAGGCTGCTGTGGGGCCAGTTTCAAGACCTTTGCATCATCCTTTCAGCCATTTCTG